GGAATGCCAAAAACCTCAGGAGCTGAGGAGCCCCTGGGACAAAGGGAGCAGAGCAATAGTGCTGGGGCCAAACACAGTGGGGAGCTGAGGACAAGATTACCCTGTCTCCTGGGAGCCCAGTCCCCCCAGGGCAGGCAAGTGCCACTATGGGAGTCCCCTCTGCTCCCACGCCAAGAGGCCTTCTCTGTGGTGAGGGAAACTGAGGCACAGAGCAGGGGCCCCACACCGAGCCTGGAGCATGTTGACCCAAACACGCCTCCCCGACAGATCCCTGCTTACGTGTGTCGGGGGAACAGAGCCCTTTGGTGTACCCAAATCTGTGCTTTGGGGGTGGCACAGGGCTCAGGCAGGGACACAGACTTGCGTGGATGTCTCCAGTGGCTGCACTGATGCTGCCCGGGGATGTAGTCATCCCCAGCAAGAAGATGTCCAGGGCCCTCCGCTCTGCGCCGGCACCCAGAGCCAGCAGCGAGCCGGCCACGGCTACATGTCACTGCCACACACTCCTCTTGGCCACCCGGCGCAGGAGGCAGCAGCACAGACCCCGAAACCTAGACGCTTTAAACCCCGAAACGGAGACCCCTTAAACTGTTTGTGCTGCTCACTTCAGTGCAGGGTCATGATGCTTGTCCCAATCTCCCAAGCTCTGATGCTCAGGGAGGGCAGAGCCCGGCCAGCTCGTTACACAAGTGTGCCAGCAGACGTACAAGCCCATCCCCGATATGAGGCTCCATTCTCCTGGGCGGCTTCCAGCTCACACCGGGGTGTCTGCCCTGGGGCTGCCCGGTGCCAGATGCACCCGAGCCAGCACGGCACAAGGGGGAGAGGACCCTGAGGCAGGTCTCTGCCAAACCGGCCGGGCAAGCGGCATTGCCCACACCTCGCTCCCCTCTTGCTTCGAGGTATTTTGTGTCACTGAACAGATTTGGACAGCCTGAAGCCTCGCACGGGCCCCCTTCCCCAGAGGGTGGCATCCCTGAGCGCCCAGCGTGGCTGTGACGCATGGCAGCGCAGGAGGAACCCCCTGCACATGTTGTATGAGGGGCCGGAAACCTTGAGTCAACCGTGACGCCAGCTCAGTGCTCCCGAAACCGGGGAGTGCCCGGAGGTGCTGTGCCACCGCTGTGCCACTGCTCCATGCCAGGGGCCACCCACGCCGCTCATCCCCAGCGCCCGCTTGGGCTCTGCTGCATCCCAGGTCCCTGCTCGGTGCCAGCTGCCCATCCTGCCTGCCTATTCTCCGTGCCTGTCCCTGTCGCCATGTAAGAGCAGCTCCAAGTCCAGCTCCAAGTGGCAATCAGGCGATGGCACTGGGTGCCACGCTGGCCCCGCTATGCAGCTCCATCTCACGGCACATCTCAGGGCGATCTTTGAACCCTGGTGGCCTGAGCAGAGCGGGTTGGTGGCTGTCACTGTCACGGCACTGGCACAGGCGTATGTGTGCCCACCGGTGGGCAAACAGCACCTGGCACAGTGAGAGGTGCTGGGGTCTATGTCTGCGTGGCCA